CCACCCAGGGGAAAAGGAAGAATAATGCACACACACACACTGACAAAGACAGCCTTTTATCCCAACACAATGGCCTTTGGTCTGACCTGTCACAGATTATTAATGACTGTTAATGTACACCGCTTTGTTACAGTGTGTTTGCGTGTGGCCCGCACCCACTGATCATATGAAAAACACAAAGTAATCCTTTCTAATAGAACAAAATTCCTAACTTCCTGTAGATTATTTTTCCTGTTGCTTTTGCTATCTTTCAGTGCATTGTTATTTCAACTCAGCAGTGTCACATACTCCTATTATGTTACCATTTTCAATTTCGGGGTCTCACTGCTGACATTAAAAACAACTCAAGGAAAGAAGAAGGTTGTGGGATGCAGCCAAGATGGTAAATGAATGTTGTTTTGACATCTTTATGGTACTTTCTTGTATTATGACTAAGATTTAAACCATATTGCTCAGCTCTGTCATGGGAAAGTGACTGTCGTCGTGTTTCCATAACGTATTTTTAATGCACATTTTTGAAGTGTCGCTTCAGAAAAGGTGAATGGAAATGGAAAATCGAATACAAAAATTTTCTCAAAAAGGTTTGGGTGGTTCTTGACTTTACTGAAGAAAACTCAAAGAGCTTTGTGGGATATTAAAACACCTTTTTTGAATAAGTTCTGTTGTAGTGAACATTTAAATCACATTACTGATCAGCTATTTATGCTTTTTTTCACATGTTTGCAACCAGACAGCATAAAGCACAGCCAATACATACTGGTATAAAAAAACTATAACAAATTTCCACAACTTAAAGCGATTCCTGATGACTTTTCTCTCGTAGATGGCAAAGGTTTTGTTTATTTCTTCTCCATCTTAAAGGTTTATTGGCAGTTTGCAAACAACTGGATTTGTGTCTGGCTTCTTCTACTCTGGTTATTATGGGCATGTGTAACACTATGCAGCCTAATTCATTTAATTCACGGAAACAAGCCTCATTCACATTTTTCTTTTTTACATTTTTTGTAACATTTCAAAAAAATTGCTTCAAATTTGTGTGTCATTTAAATCGAAACAGGTCTTGTGTTCATCAATTACGCCTCACTGGATTAAACTGACCTACATTACCTGCATGTGCACATAAACTTCTTTCTCTTTACCAGCCCTTGAAGGACATTCTGTGAGTCTGCAGACAGAAGCCGGAGTCTTCAGGGACATCGAGCGCCACAGCGGCTGCTCTCTCTCCTAGTAAATCACTGACCCAGAGCACGACTACTGTACACACACACACAGGCACACGCACACACACAAACACACACGTAACTCCCCGGAGGAGCTCAGATACAGCCTGTGAACCTCATCACTCAGTGAGGGCAGAGTAAAGAGTGATGAGAAATGTCACAGGAGGATCACCCTCCCCTCACCCTCTTTCCTGAGTGACCACTGCACTGCTCTTTAAAGTGCATCCTTCCTTTCTACTTCCTTTCCTTCCCATGAGGGGTGAAAAATCTGAAGAGGTTGGCTGAGGTTCGCCGGGGAATCCTTCACTCGGGCAACCGACCCGCTGCATGCTGGAGTGGAAAGTTACTTCAAAGGCGAAAGCAAGGAAGGAACCTCATTTAAACATACTGCATGATATGTCTCATCTATCATGCATCCATCTTCTCCTTCACTTTCTGTCTGTCCCTCTTCCTTTCTCTACTTCTTCTGGCGTCTCAGAAACTCTTGTCCAACAACGGATCCCATTACATGCCATTATACACACTCAGCCTCTTTCTCACATGTGCACACACACATTAATACAACAGAGTGTGGAGGGGGGTGGTGTGGGTAGGGATCAAAAATAGTGGAATGGCTTTTGTGTAGGTAGATTAGATAAAAAACACACTAATGCTATTAAGCTGATGGCCTGAAAGCCATAGTCACACTGACAGCCACTCGGGGGAATACACACCCGTCCCCTGTGGCAAAAAAAAAGAAGGAGCCAGCGACACATCAGAGGCAGGGATCAGGTTTTCTGCTTTTGTGGGGATGGCTCAATATCGCAGCTAAAAGCTACATAACCAGGTAGCGTGTATTTTTGTATCACAAAGCCTAAATTAGCTCTGAACATAGATTCCCTCAAAGTAGGACAGGGTCACGGTGAGAGAGGTCTACCAGCAGAAAACTACTGCACCGTGTCTTCCTTCTTCAGCTTAGACTCAAAGTCGTAGAGCCCATTAGTGCTGGCATAGCATAGCGTCAGCTGTGTACGTCAGTGTATGTGCATGCGAGCGTGTGTTCAAGTGTGTTCACAGCCTCCACTGGGACAAACGCATCCAGATGAAAACTTTGAAATCACATTCCCTTCAGGAAGTCGTCCACCTGAAGCCGCACACACACACACACACTCAATACTAATGCTAATCAGGATTAGGTTTCCTGCGCTCTGGAATGTGTGTGTATATGTGAACATGTCACCAGCGCTGGGGGAGTTGTAGCAATCGGTAAGTCATCAGCACATGCATGACGACTCTGGGTCATCACTGAACCAACATATGATCCACTTGCCTAGCGGGCTTCAGCTGTATTCATGTAACCAAGCTTTTAATCAATGGCGTATTAAGGGTGTGGCGTTATGATGGAGATGATTGCCTGGGCTTTTTCCTTTTTTTTTTTTTGACTCTGTGGTGCCACTTTCAGTACAGCAGAGAAAATCAATTTGTTACAACTCAAACTGCCAGCTTATATTCACAAGCTACAACTAAGTATTACGTTACATGTTCACTGATAGAGATGATAGCCATGCTTGTTTGAGTGCGAGCGGGGTGAGCGTGTATACGCATGCATACGCTCACTTACAGAACAGCAGAGTAATCCAATGATTCATACTTCTACTCAAAAGCCAAAGTTTGTCTCAATGTTCCGACAGCAGGGTTGAACTCAATTAGCTTGTGCATTCAATACCTTGTGGCAAAACCCCCGCGCAAATGTGTGTACTTGAGTTGCTGCTGCAAAGGGCAGGAGCTCCTGGCCCTTTTCCAGGAATCCTGGAATTTTACCTGTATTTTGACCACATGAACCTGGATCTGGTTGTTTAACCCTCTGAACCCCCCGAACCCCCAGAGAGTTTTAAAGGCACGTTATCTTAAAAAAAGAAAAGAAAAAAAATCTGCAAAATTCCATCAGTTATTGGAGCCAGAAACTGTAAAGACAGAAAGAATCATCAGATTTTCATCTTTTTGTCCGTCTTTGAACTACCGATCTGTGACTTGACATTCTGTCAGGAAAAAGCTTAAAATCACAATATCTTCATCAAAATCACTCTACTCTATCGATCTCATTTGAAAATTTGAAAAAATAAATAAACTGCCTACACCAGATCCATTCATGTAACAAAACTTGAGAGGCTTTTTAGCTAAACTGGGCTGAGCTGCAGGCTGTACAGAGCAGACAGGCGAGACAAAAAGGAACAAATTAAAAACGTGAGGAGTTAAATATATGCAGTATGCAAAGTCAAGATTTGTTTCACAGTATTAGTAACATCTGTGGGTACTTAAAAAATGCACTCAAGCCCAGGGTATTACAAAAATTTATGTGAGGATTGCATTTGATTATTTATTTATTTTTTTTTTACTGTAAAACACAGTTCGGTTCTCCAGCTACTCTTGGAACCAGACAAGTGTGCTGCTCTGCATTTGCTAATTGTTGTCAATGGCCATATTTACATAATGTATTTTTATACACATTTTGAAGTATTGCATGATAAAAAATAAATGAAAATGGCAAAATTCATAAACTATTCCCCAAGTTTATTACGCTTTAGGGGATTTTAGACTTTATCAAGTCAGAGCTATGTGGGCAAAATGGGCTCGTGTGCAAATGGATTGTTGGATTGAGACACCTTTTTTCGAACAAGTTTAGACGTAGCGAACATTTAAGTCACACGACTGTTTCGCTGTTTCTGATATTTCTGTTGTCTTTGCTTCAGGAAACATGTTGTGAATCTGGTCCAAAACCAGCTGATATGACAGAATATTGATGATATGCCTGTTTGAAAGTAGATCCTGAAGACTTCTGTCCGTTTTTCAGAATCTAGCTTTATCTTTTTCGTCAAGCCTAGTTAATTTGCTCCAAAGTAGTTAATGGAAACAAACCTAATTCATTTTTCTTTTTTGTGACATCTTAGAAACCTGCTTCAATTTCTCTTTACAGTTATAAGGAAAACTAGTAACTAACGTGGTTACATACTAAAGCACATCCTCATTCTTTTTCCTTTTTGAGTTTTATAAACATTGACATTTATTGAAATACTAATTAACCGACAGTGCATCATCTCATTCCATTGTAAAGTATCTAAAATAAACCTGTTGCTATTAAATCTGTTGTGCTATTTTTAACATTTCTTGAAATGCAGTGGAAAAATCAGTCATGTACTGTGAGTTAATTTCTGAGTGTTGTTTCTGGAACTTTGTAGTTCCCGGGACAACTTTGTCTAACAAAAAACATGTGCCAGAACAGGATAATGTGTGATCTGCATTGTTGGAATGAACCTGACAGTGAAGGTAGACAGAACTGGAGGCTCTTACTGGAATCCAAACTCAGCAGTTTACATCATGGTCATACATTATAAACTACACATTGTTTAGTTGATCACAGATGGTTGAGAAACTAAAACTGTGTGTGAAGTTGAGAAAGAGAGTGCGAGAGAAGATGACTGTGTGTGTGGCTGCAAATTTCCCCTTTGGAAACTGAGCTTTTTTTTTTCTTTTTCCCCTCCCTTCATGCTTGATAGGTGAAAAGCCAAGAAACAGCACCGGCCATATATGACTATCTCCTGCTCTCTTTTCTCCTTCCCCTCCCTCTCGGCCTCTCCTTTTTCCCCACATTGTTATCTGACCTGCACTATATTAAATCTGTTAAGCACATTCCATATTTTGGTTTTTCTAACCTGCTGCGGAGACTGGCTTCTATTACACACCGTGTGTCTCTGTGTTTGAAATATGGATTGGCTCTCTTATGGATGAGTGTATTGAACTTGCCTTGGTGAAAAATACTGAGAGGTGCGTTTCACTGCCAAGTATCCAAATAGGGAACTTTGGAGATTTGAGGAATGTCCCGACCTAAAACACAACACACGGAAAAGGAATGTATAACAAATCAGTGTCTATTTTCGCCATGGATCAGTAATTGCTGTAAATTCTGCATTCATGAAATACACTGACGTTTAATCAGAAATGGCATGTTACCTTCCTCAGCACTCAGTAAAAAGCATATGTAATGAAATCCACTGTATATATCAGTGTTAACTCACAACTTCTTTCACTTCTCAAAGCGGGCATTTGCTCACATTAACAGCATACATATAAGTGGGTCTCTTAACTAACTCTACAAGTTACTTTGGCATCCATCTACTTGCTGTTAACCTATTACAGCTACTTATTTTGCTTATTTTCAGAGTTCCTATCTCGACTTGAGCTTTTTTTTGGCTTGCTTATGTTGGCACCAATAAACAAATAGCCAAGATTCCTGTTTTTCAAGCTCACTGATAAATGTCTAGTCACCAGCAGTGATCAGTTTTTAATAACTGTGTGTTTTGGTGCCAGAAAACAAAGCGTATAGCAGCAGAGTGTGGGAAGTTTACAGTTAATCTGTTAAGACTGTTTCTTCCAAACACATATTTTCACACGGGAGCCTTCACTTTGATTTGTGTTTCACATATTGGAGACGTCCCACATCTCAGAGTTACAAGCAACAGTGAGCACTGGTGTATGTATTTGTATTCCTTAGCACTCCTCTCAGTTTATAAAATAAGTGTCGAACTCCATTCACACTAACGCCCTATCAAAAAAACAAATCCTGTACAGAATTACCGTCAACGCTCACCGGACAGTTTGTTTTTATTTACTAATTATCTGCTTGGAACCGTTACGTGTCCGTACCTTGCAGTAGCGCAGCGATTCCATAAGCGTGAGGAAGCCAACTGATGCCTGTTTATGAATTCCGTGTAGTTCTGAAGGATGAAAAAGAGCAATAAAGTAAGAATGTCATTGATGTCAAACTGGCATTAATTTGTGTTTTTGTGCAATGCTGCGGAATTTAAGAATTATGACTCTCTGGTGGATATGTTTAAATCTGGGACCACTAAAGAGTTCTGCAAGGCTGATATATGTGTGCGCGTGTCTGTTCTGTGGATTTGGTATGTTTAAGCGTGTGCATGCAGTAATTTCATGGAAGTCTTACTCATGCCAGAGCACTCCCTGTCTCCATCCCAGACATTAGAGACAGCATGGCCAGTTACAAGAAGGTTCACCAGGCTCTGACTGCAAGATAAAAAAAAAAAAGAAAAAAAAGAGACATCAATAGTACAAAGGAATTGCAGAGAAAATACAAATATGTACCGCTTTCCTACACAAGTAAGTCCTTGCAAGGATGTATATCACCCTGTGACAGTCCAGCTGATGTGAACAACAGGTGAAGGCGTGTTTTTATACCTTCCATGGCCGTGCACAGGGTCTATAAGAGGCTCCATTGTGTCCTGGATCTCATTCCTTATGTTTTCAATGCCCTGCATAGACAGGACCAGAAGAAACAAGTCTGCATTTCATTTTTGGTTAGTAAACATGAAGAAAAAACGCTTTGAGTGATAAAACTTAGCGATTATATGCCCATGAATAAAAGTATGATTCTTTTTTGTGGCTCGACTTTCTTTTTAATTTTTTTTTTTTTAAATTGTAAATCGTCTAACCCTCTACACCCCAAAACCCACCAGTGGGTTTGAAAGGCATGTTATATTGAAAAAAAAATTGCCAAAATTACACCATTTATCAGAGTCAGAAACTGCAAAACCAGACAGAATCGTGGGATTTTTCAATTTTCAGACAGGTCTTGAACTAATCATGTGTGATGTACTGTTCTGTCTGAGAAACATACAAACCTAAGCAGAAAATTGTGATATTTCATCAAAACCACTTTCTTGTACATGCTGTATATAAAAACTTGCCAAATATGAAAAGGTTTAACGAATCAGATTTGGTAAGGTAATAAAAATGCTGTGCTCCTCAGTGGAACTGAAGTTACTCAACTGCAGCAGACTGTCCCATGACACATATTCAGCTTTTTTCAGCTAAACTAGGTTGAACTGCAGGCTGTGTTTACACGGGCAGATAGGGGACAAGTTTTGAAACAAATTAAAAATGTAAGTTGCAAAAATCAAAAGTATGTACATCCGCCAGTTTTCCAGCATTGCAGACACCTAAATTAAACTTTTCTTTGTTTTTTAATGAATATGGCACAACAACTTGATCGTACTACACTAAAGACATTTATGAGTTATCTCTACTTCCCTTCTAGCTACGGTTGCTCTGTTTCCATAGAGGTGCAAGATTTTATATTCCAGTGAAAAATGAGTCCACAGTGAGGCAAAATCTGACAGGAGCAAAAAATAAAAAAACCCCAAGAACCTAGTTGGGGTTTAGAGGGTTAATGATTATAGCAGACACAAAATCATCAGCCTCCCCTTTTCCAAACAGTATTTCATATTTCTATCCACCTCTTTCCTTTCTTTACCTTGGTAAGGATGACAGAGTAGAGGAAAAGCAAAACTCCACAGCACCCCCTCCAGGTGTGGTAGAGAGACAGCACCTCCTCTCTGAGATCAGACACCGACACGACTGTCCGCTTGCTGTGGGAAAGAAACAACCATCAGGATGATTTATGAAACACTCTAGAGACAGATTTGTTGGGTTTTTGGAGGTCGCAGTGACTATGACCAATTCATTAATTGTGTTTGTCATGCCCGGATGCCCTTTCATGATAGGGCAGAAATCAATTAAATGCATGAGAGGACAATGACAAATCTGATGGTCACTGTTTGGAGGCTCTTCCTTCACACTCGCCACCTTGGAAAGCTTGATACCGGGGCTGTCTGTCTTTGTTAGTATGCACCTCTTCACTGTGAGTCAGCACCGCTTTTTGCTGACTACGGCCTCAGCTGCCAGTGCACGATGTGATGAAATTTCAATGTTCTTCTGGCATACACAGTCTTGCATTCATTTAGCTTCTGTGTGTGTGTGTGTGTGTGTGTGTGTGTGTGTGTGTGTGAAAGGTAGTGAGAGGTAGCTTTTTTTTATTAGGCAATCAGTGACAGCCCTGAGTCAGCAAATTGTGAGCAGAGTGAAATAGCTAATTCAAAGTGAAAGCCAATTCTTGCAGACTAGATGAATCAAATACCACACCTCCTCTTGCCTGTCCTGACACTATCTTGTGAGAAATATGTAGTTCTCTATCTGCGTACTGCATGCTGGCAAATGTAAAACCAGGATTTGTGAGGTCTTAATTCTTCCGGAAAACCCACAGTATTATTTAATGTGCAGATTATATGGGCCGGGGACGAGTATAAAGATGCAAAGGTGTTATCTGTGGTGAGAAAATTTAGTGTCACTTACTGGAGAACGCTGTGAAATCGCTCAAAGCCAAGTTCCTCAGCAGCCAAAGCAGCTAGGCCCGAGAAAACACATAAATATCGTCGTATCAGAGCATTACACGGCAAAATTCCACACTACTAAAGAGTTAGCCATTAAAAGTTTCTATTTTTGCAATAAATTGTAAAGACAAGGCTTCATAGAATAAGTGAGCACGCACTGGTATTACAAATTTTGCACCTCGTGTGGGAATGTGACAGACGCGGGACTCACTGGGTTGCTGTTCCTGTGGTGGTTGGCTGCTCTCTGGCTCTGGCATGTCCTGTGTTTGCGACGGTGCCTGTGTGTTAGTGTGTGTGCTAGTGTGTGGGCTCTGTCCCTTGGCCCAGGTAACCAGGCAGAATCCTGTGGAGGGGCTGGAACAGGCCGACTCCAGGATTTCACTCAGCGTTGAACACAGGGCTGTTTTCTGCTCCTCAGCTAATGCGTACAAACACAACATGCATTATTTAAAGAGAAATACATCTAGATTATATAAAACAACAAAAACAACAACGACTGGAGGTTTCTTTAATAAATATACCTGACATCTGTCTCCAGTTGGAACTATCTCTATTAAAGAGAATGTTCTTTAAGAGAAAAGCCTGCAAAGAAACACAAACTCAGTCACACAATTTGTAATAAAAAATTCACGCTGTAATAAGCTTCACTTTCCAAGTCATGTCTACAGTCAGCGATTAGATTCATAGACTGTCATTTTTTTTATAAGCTAACATATGATCAACCATTGTTTCAGCAGTAAAACAACAAATATCACTGTAAGAGTTGAAGGATTTAGGGAAAATGTAGAAATGCATTTTTATGGCATATAAAAAAAAGTGAAACTTCAGCTGAGATGGAGCATTACCGCAAGATGCCATCCAAAGTGCCAGTGTTACACAAGGAGGATAGCATTACATTTTTAAAAGAATTGATGACAGTTGAAACCCTGAGTCAGACATGTTGCAAAATTTACGAAGTGTGCTTATTAAATAATAAGACCAGGCCTATACCAGTTGAACCACAGCATGCATGACTGAACCGCAAAGTATACACTAAGAACTGGGCAGCATAAACAAGCCCTGAATGCTTCAATCTGCACAAATTAAATAAAGCTGAATTTTAATGTTAGTTTCATTATTTACTCGCCACAGCTCGTAAATTACAGCCTTTATTTGCATTGTTTCGAATTGTGATTTTATTGAAACCCATTAATCATTCAAGCTAAACCATAAGGCTAACAGACTTTGATGCACTAACAATATGGTAACGGGTTGAATTAGATCATACCTGGACAGGTGCAATTACAGCACATGGCCCTCCTTCAAACTGCTCCAGTGCTGTGTGCTCATTCTCGCTAAAAACAAATCCTGCAGCAAAAACAAACAAACAAACACTATGTCAACAGAGAAACTCTAAATTTTTCACAGCAGTAAGGGCAGAAGCATTTTATAAACTTCCACTCTAAACACATATTACAAAAAACAAAAATAAAAACATAAACTTGTAGCATGGCATATGAACCACATGTAATGGGTTATATTATGAAGTTACTGATATATGTTGAGCCTAGAGTCAGAGTTTTTTTTACTGTCATGAATGTGGTCTGGATCTTGAGCTAGATGTGCTCAACATTTAGGTTTTAAATCTGCTGTAAAAAGATCCACCAAGTCACAACTCTTTTTCCTGACCACATTTTCTTTGAGAGATACAGATTCTGATGTCTTATACCCACACACCTGTTGAACCGTACATTAGGAATGCCACTGAATGAAGTCATGCAGTTAGAGAAGGCAAACAGCATGAGTTGTGTTGCCACAGGAGCCTACATGCATTAGGTTGGTGGCAATGCAAAAAACAAAAACCAAAAAAAAAACCCAAACATAAATACATTTTTATGCTTCTTCCTTAATTATTGCCCAGTCTGTTTTAAATTGATGACATTGCAGCTAATATACACACATTTTAAAAAATTGTTTAGTCTTTTGGTATTACAGAAGATATCCAAACCATAATAATAATAATAATTTCACTTTGATTTGGCTAAAAACTCAAATGATTCCCACATATCTCTCATAATGTGACAGTGTCAGACCTGAAAGCACTTCTTAAAGGTGATACTTAAATACATGAGGTTTAAAGTTTAAGAGTTCCCGTGTGCAGCTGTCATGTTAAAAAATAAGCAGCAGGCACTGAGAGCGCAGTGAGTGGTAAAATAAATATATTAATTTTCAACAATTTTCTAACATTCCTCCCTTGCATCTTCTGCAGTAACAGCACTTTCTACTGTAATACTTTTTTCTGTTTTTGGAATCCTCATCGCTCTCCCTGTTTCGTTTGATTGAAGAAGGCGACCTAACATTGGCCGATTTTGTGCAGAAGAAGAGTCATACGAGTCTTTTTTGGGAGTGCATACAGAGGCTGATGAAGAAAACCTGGCTCAACAAAGAAACTTGATAACCTCCATCATGACACCCATCATCTCTGATTGTGGTTTTAGATTTTGTCGAGTCAGCTTACACAAAGAAAGCCATCCTATGTCAAACTTGCTTTGTGAAACAACCCTCAGGTGCAAGAGCAATTATGTGTAATCATACCAGCTCCATGTTAAACAACAACTTCTTTATCTGACTCTCATCCAGAGAGGAGGATTTGACGAAGCAAATCACTTGTTGTATTCTTCTAGTTAGAATTAAAACCCACAGCGTGGTACTACATCTCTCTTATTGAGAGAAATATCATGTCTTAAACACTTCATCACACTCCGACAAAGCGTCCTACCTTGGGTCCATCTACGAAAGATGGAGGCAGACACTCCTCCACCAGAGGGTCTCCCCCACACCAGATCCACCACCTCTTTATTCAATTCTGACATGTTTGCTTTCAGTGCTGGCAGATCCACAGGCACCCCCTCTTCAGTCCAGCAGCCACGTGGAAACAAGAGGTCTGTTGAGGCCAACTTGGTAGCTCTTTCCGATGTTGACAGTCCACTCCTGTGGGCAGGTCGAGCCTGTGGCATTGGCCACAAGCTACCTGTGTGGCAGGACACAGTCTGACTCTAGCGGCTGGCAGCAAACTGGCGGGTAGGAATGACATCAACGAAACCACACCAGCCTAAGCGATGGGACAGAAACAAAGCGCTCGTTATTGTCGAAAAGGGAAAACGATTTTAGCACGAACAAGTTAATAAGTGACAGTTGCAAGATTTAAAAACGGACAAGTTTAGAACTTATATCTCTATTCAGTGATGTTATATACTCGCTCGGTTTAAGCTAAAAGGCTAACAGCTGCATTAAAGAGAAATAGTTACAGTGGATGGTTTGCACTACAAATAATGACAACAGGACAACGGTTAGATATTGTAATAACGACGCTGTTACCTTATTACATTTTTCAGAAATTACTGCGCCAGTTATACATTTTAACAGCTGAGTTGGCTTGGTAATGTCAGCAGTTAGCATTAGCATTACTACTAGCTTTGTCATTCAGTTGCTTAGCGCAATACAGCGACGCCTTATAACTGTTGTATATAGTAATACTCGGCCATTAACGAAACATCAATGAACGTTAATTACCTTATTACACAGTCGAGTTACTGAATTCCGTGTTTATAATATTTCTGGTAGCAATTTCACCGACAGGCGCGTCTCTGTCATTCGTTTATTTACAACAGAATTGTTAAAGAAAAAAAAACGTACGTACTATTAACGTAGTTTTCCATTGGTTGAAATCCAGAAAGTTCTGAGTGCGTTAGGGGCTGCAGCTTTAACGCGTCTCCTAATTGGTCTACAGACCTGTCAATCACATTGAGAACCCGCCCACAGCAAGACAACCGTTTAATTCATTTAAAGCTCTTCTTGAAAAAACTCCAATTCGAACAGGGGGTTTTTAAATTTTAGAACTTTAAGTCAATTTTATTATTAAATTCTATGCATCACATCCAATTAAACCTTTAAATATCTCCTTTACTTGCGTTTCGTTTTTAAAAGCTTTTATTCAAAAGTGTGGGTAGTGTGTCCACTATCCCTCTCCGTAGCAGCAGTCTGGTCACCGCTTAGCGCATGCGTACTCCATGCCTACATTTCTCTTATGCTTGCTTTCCACGCGTGTTTAAGATTCACGCTTTGAGAAAAGTCCGATTTAAAGTCAGAACTAGTTTAAATATAAGATTCCATCAGTATGGGAGGCCAGGCCAAGGGCAAAAAGAAAAACAAGCCGAAGAGGAAAGAAAACCGTCCAGACAGGGGTGAGCAGTTCAGTGGTTTATCATTTTGCTAAATATTTACTGTCTGTTATGTCAAATTGGTAGGAATCTAGTATTTGAAATGAACAGTTAGAAGCGTTGCAAGGATTTTGAAACATTGGAGGCTTATCCCAGCCCAGAAATCTTTGCATTTTAATCTGATAACTGCATGATTTTGAAGTTATTCCAGACTGTAATAAATATAGTGTATACATGTGCTGTAAGCAAAGTAAGGTCATGCTCAGCCCACATTAATATCACTGTCAGTGCGTGTAGCATGAGCAGTGCTTCTCAAACTGTGTGTCTTAGTCTTATTCATGATGATAATCATATTTAAAGTTGTGCCTTGTCACAAAACAACCACTGAGCTAGACCAGAGTTTTACTGCTTACCCAGATAAGTGACACAATTTTCACAATAAGTCTATTTAACATTGACTTGGGTAACAACTGTTTAAATAGTGCAGAAGAAGAGATGCAGGTGCTGGTGAGGAGTCCCCTCATAACATAATATCCCAACTGATTAGCTAAAAATAACCTGACTGAACCTGCTGTCTGTTGTTGATATTTCATTTGATCTAACCTAACTCTTGTATCTTTCTGTATTGTCACACCTCGCCTGCCCTGTATCGGCTTCCATCCTTTTCCATTTTGAAAAAAGCTTCCCATGGTGCTCTTTCATGCTCACATAAAATGCACAATCAGAATGATGTTGATCTACTACTTGAATGACACTCGTAGGACCCAAAACTAAAACCTCAAAAATAAGCTACCTGTGTTTTTTTTTTTTTTTTTTTTATCATGCTATTTTGGACTGCTTTAATACCTGATTGAAATGACAGATGAATAGAGCACTGAACGCCAAAACATCCAGACACAAAAATAGATTCTTCCCAGAGGTTTTCAAGATTAAATCCATCTACTCTGACAGAAACAACTCTTTTTGAATCTCTTCCCCTGAACCACTCTGTGTCCTGTATTTTACGATACCTGTTAATATATTTAATCCCAGCAACATTGCTTTCTGCTCCATTGAACCATCATCCACTTACCTCATGCATATAAAGTGTCATAGTTATATTTATTCCTGTATTGTTACAATCTGCACTGTTGCAGTAAATGTGATCACTTTACACTCTTACACATATCTGTAGCTGTACATGGAATGCTTTAATCTGTGGTGTTCTTTAAATGCATGTATGTTTTTTGTGTCTGTACTTTAAGCGCAAACTAAAACTAGAGTCACATTTTTTGTATGTGAATGCTTTCTTGGCCAGTAAAGCTGATTCTGATTCATAAAATATTCAGAGCTATGGATTTGGATGCCCGGGCCTAATGAAGCCACAATTAGTTGTTATGTTTTGGTTTTGGTGGGGACCAATTGAGGCAAATCTGATGTTTGTTGGACACTTATGTCTTCCCAGGAGATCTAGGATTTGTCAATCTGACACCTCAGGAAAGGATGAAAGTAAGAATGCACGAAAAAGCCAAGAAGAAGACAGCTGAGAAGTACTCAGTACAGCAACTCCTAGAAAAGGTCAGCATATATAACAAACACGGGACCCAGATATGTCATGTCCATACGTGTGTGTGTGTGTGTGTGTCTGTGTGTATATATATCTAAGATTCGGATTATGTACTTCATTCATACTGTGTGATAATGTGTTGTGCAGACAGAAGAATGCATGGACAGTTTTGACTTTGAGATGGCCGGCCTCTTCTGTCAGCGCGCCCTGGACGTGGAGTCGACCAACCTGCAAGCTCTCGACATGCTGGGACACATTTCCTCTGAGTTAGGAGACACACAGAAAGCTAAAGGAATATCCTTTTTGCGTTTTTTTCTGTCTTGCTGTGTGCATGTACGTACTTTAGCAACTTCCTTGAAGCGCTGCTTTGTAGAGTTGCAATGATTATTCAATGAGTTGTCAGTTGTTAAATTAATTGCCAGTTATTTTGATCGTAGATTAATGAGTTTGAGTAACGATGCTTGAAGTAATTGACAAAAAACGTCAAAACTCTCTGATTTCAGCTTCTTAAATGTAAAAATGTTCTGGTTTCTTTCCTCCTCTGTGACAGCAAATTAAAAATCTTTGGGAGGACGAAACAAAACACGTTATCTTGGGTTTCGAGGCACGCTGATCGACATCGTCACCGTTTGCTGACATCAAACAGCTACTTGATTAACCAAGTAGATAATCATCAGATGAATCTAAACTGAAAATAATCTTTCGTTGCAGCCCTGCCTCTTTGATTGGTTGATTCTGTTGTAAAAAGTGATGACTGCGGCTTCCTTGACCGAGTCTCTCCAAGCTTTTCTGCGTGCAGTGGAGCTGAGCCCGGACGTTGGCCACAGCAAATACATGTACCTGGGACAAATCCACACAGGCCAGGAGTCTGTGGACTACTACACCAGAGGAATCCAGGTTTTGCAGTCTGCACTGGAGAAACAAGAAACAACAGTGAGTGAAGACACACTTCCCTTAGGGTTTATGTGGTGATAGATTCTTAACATTAAAATCAAAAGAGATAAGACAGACTTTTTTGATTCCTCCACCAGGGAAAGTCAAATGTGACAGCAGAAGCATCATAGGAAGCAATACAAGAAATAAAATGTTGAAAAATCATCAAAATGTAATTGTGCTCAAAGCTTAATGCAAGGGAATGTTGTTTAACTTCACAAGAGGGTGCTATTGGACTATCTATCTATCTATCTATCTATCTATCTATCTATCTATCTATCTATCTATCTATCTATCTATCTATCTATCTATCTATCTATCTATCTATCTAT